GTGGCCTTTACTTGCTCGGTCCCCTCCTCCTCCCCGCCCCCTCCCGCTTTTGGCTCCCCCCACACAATGAACAGCTTGTTGAGAATTTGCATTTTATGAAAATAGGGTGGAAAGACAAAGGGGTCTCCCTCCTATGCTGCCCAGTGCTTCCTCCCTGGCCCATTTGGGAAGTGTCCACACCCCTGAGGCCAATCTTTGGTTCTGGAGAAAGAGGGTCCCTTATCTTCCTAGCCTTGGGGAGGCCTGTGAGGAGTGTTAACCAGGGCACCAACCAGGAAAACTGTAGGCTCTTTGGGCTCATGGGACAATGGCTGGTCTGGGACAGGGCTTCTCCCAAGGATCAGTAATTTAGGGAGAGAGAGAGAGAGACTGCTCTAATTTCTCAAGGGCCCTAAAGAGGCAGGAACCCTCAGCTCTGTCATTCTCACTCCCCCCTCCCCCAAAAAAAGCAAAATAAGAAGAACTCCCAATCTCTCTCCTAAGTATGATGAGACATAAGGATACATTTGAGGGCTAAGATTTTATTATTATTATTATTATTAATTATTATTATTGGTCCCAGAAAGCGTCAAATGTATGGCAATGTCAAGAGGTCCAGGTTGAGCTAGGTACTGCTGGTCCCTGAAACAGTCTGTACTTTGGAGGAGAAGATTGGCCCCTCTGTCCCCTGTCTTCCCACGGTTGGGCTGGGATTGCCCGCCCTCCAGACCTGGGCCCTGGCCCAGCTCCCCAGTGCAGAGAAACTAGGACTCTTGTGACAGGAGCATCAGTTAAGTAATTTCATACGTTCACTGTTGGGGGCAGCTGGCTGAAAGACTGCTTGGTGGATTAGACCTGGGCTTCCCTAGTCTAGGAAGGTTTTTCTGGAGGCAAAAGACCTTGACCATCCCTGCTTGTTGACTGTAATGTGAGCTCTTTAGGAAATCCTGGATCTTGTCACGGTGGCAAGGTGTGTTCCCTGATGCACTTGCTGGCCATGACAGAAAACCAGCCATTAAAAGTTTGGTCCTGTTCCTAGCCTCTGCAGGTATCAGCAGTCCTTATTAATTGGTTGGTGATTTTGTTTGATTCTAAGAACCTAGCCAACACAGCAGTTTTTCTTTGAATTCCTCAGCATGTCAATACTGGAGCGTATTAGTTCAGGGAAGGTGAATAGTGGTAGTAGTCATAGTAATATTAACTAATACACATGCCCTTCTGAGCTCATCACTTACCTACATTAATTCATTAACTCCTCACAACATTTCCATGAAGTCAGTACTGGTGTTAGTCTTTACAGTTGGGTTAAGTCTCTTTTCCAGGGTTACTGGGTTGGTGGGAGGCAAAGCCAGGACTCGAACTCACACGACCTTCCTAACATTCAGTCTGGCTGTAGACTCTTGCTTGTAACATTTTTACTACCTTTCTTTAAAGGTCCCTGTTTTTTCTCTGCCAGGGAAGCCTGGAATTGCTCATCGAGACTTAAAGTCGAAGAACATCCTAGTGAAGAAAAATGGAATGTGCGCCATTGCAGATCTGGGCCTGGCCGTCCGTCATGATGCAGTCACTGACACCATTGACATTGCCCCAAATCAGAGGGTGGGAACCAAACAGTAGGAAGGCCCTGGGCTTCTGCCTTTGCCCTATACCTGCGCTGAGTGGTCCATGTGTGTCCTTCCTTGTTGTGCAGAAGGAAGAGAAGGTCTGTTTATCAGTTGAATCTCAGTGAATTTCACTAAATTGTTCTGCTTTTTCCCTCCCCTTTGACCTGAATGAATGACCCAGGCTCCAAATTGTAAGGCCTGAGGTGATCCCCTGATTTGTATCAAGTCGTATTAATTAGCTGAGAGGGACTTTGATGACTATGTAGAATAATTTTCACATTATCTGCAGGATGAAGTTTAAGCTCAGCCCATCACTGGGGCTACATTTAATGAAGTCCTAGACCCCAGTAGCAACTAGATATTACATATTGTTAGTGCCCTGTGATCCACAGTACAAATACTCTGCCAAGAAATCAAAACATGCTAAAAATCAATCTTGGTGGTTAAAAAGTAGAGGTATGAATAAGAGTAGCCTATGCTACTTCCCAAAGCTATGCTGAAGAATTTAGATTCGAACCCAAAACATGGGAGTTTGCAATAAATGCATTGATCAGTTCCTCGTCCCCAAGGGGCTTTTTTGGGGTGGTACCCACATTCTGAGGGCTCCCGAGTCAATGCTTTGATTTAAGGAGAGAAGTCATCTTTTCCTACGCATGATCATGTTTCCTTTGCTGTTGCAGATACATGACCCCTGAAGTGCTTGATGAAACCATTAACATGAAGCACTTTGACTCCTTTACTAGTAAATGTGCTCATATCTATGCCCTGGGGCTTGTATATTGGGAGATTGCTTAAAGATGCATTTCTGGAGGTACTTTTCTCTTCTGCCTTTTCTTGCTCCTGCCTCCCAGTCTAGGATGCTGGATCACCTGAGGATGCTGGTGTTCTACTGCCTCCTTTCTTTTTACAACCTGCCAGATGCCTAGTGACAGACTCCATCAATCGCAGCGTTCTCATCAAATATGAGGGAACCTTGGAGGTAGCTGTGCGAAGGGTGTGTTCACTCTTTGGACCAGCTTCTAAAGTAGTGCTTTACATTGTGGTAAACATTCTGGAGGCTTATTTGGCTTTTATAATTTTTAAACAGATTGTTCTTATTGGTCCCAGAGATTGCAAAAGTCCTGGCAGGAATAGCATGGGACTACTGCAGGGGTCTCCTTTATACTAATACAGGAGGCATTGTATGCGAACACACTGGCTCTCAAGCTGTGGCTCCTGGGGAACATGGGTTTCATTGACAAAATAATAGTGGTAAATTCTCAATTTGTAGGACAAAGCTTACCAGTGTGTAGAATTTTCTCAAAATGAGTTTTTCTCTTGTACTTTTTCTTAGATCTTTGGAATTTGCAACTGCTCACTCATGTCAGAATCCAGTACAAGGTAGTATCAGATTTAGCGGAGAACATTTCTATCATCAGCTTAGTACATCAGTGTTTTACAATGACTTTTAAGTATGCTGCCCTCAAGCTCAAGAACCACTGGAGCCCTGCCCTCAGCCGTTTATCTTAAATGTAAGAAATTCCAGGTCAGGGGGAATGAATTAAGTGAAATGAAATGAAATGAAATGAAATGAAATGAAATGAATTAAAAAGAACTGGTGAGTCTTCCAGCTAGACCCCTTTCTGTGTTACTGTCTTTTTCTATCTATGATATTTTTGGTAAGATCCAAATTATGGAGAAGGCACCCAGGTGTTATTCATAGAATTGTACATCTAAAATTTTGATCCTTACCTACAGAAAACAGATTAAGAAAGTCAGGCCACACAGATCTTAAACTGAGTAAGTTAATACATAGAGTGATGGGAGCACAGATGAGGTGCGGAGGGAAGGACAGGCCCCTGCCCTCCAGGGGCTCCCTGGCTGGAACGGAGTAGTAAATAAATAACGACCATGGACTGAGATAAGTGCTATGATAAGGGTAGACACAGAATGCTCTGGGAACACAGGACAAACAAGAGGTTGGGGTCAAGAGAGGCGACATCTCATCTATTGTGGAGCAGGCATTGGCCTGCTGATTAAGGAGAGGAGGGAGTTTTAGTCAAAATCAGTGTGACACCAAGAACCACAGATGTTCAGTATGGCTAGTGCTTGTACTAAAAATTAGTTAATAATCTTTAACACATTTTTCCTTTCTTTGTATTCTCATCTAATATTTATGAACATGCATTAGTTTTTAATTACCCAATTAACACATGTGCATGCTTGTAAAAGCTCAAAATTGCAAAGTATAGAAGGTAAAAGTTACATAGATGAACACATGCTTCGTTTCTATAGAGTTGTAATTGTATGTGTGGCTTTATATTTCTATTTGTTTCGCTTATTTTGTAAGTATTTTCCTTATCTTTAATGGTCATTAGTTTCAATGACTGCAAAAGTTCCAATTATTTTGTGTCATACTAATTTAGCTATTCCCCTTTAATTATATGTTTTTATTTCATTTTTAACTATTGTGTAATGTTGCTATAAATAGAATATGTATAGGTATATGTATATTTCTTCTTTTGAATTATTTTCTTAGAATATATTTAATTGTAGTGATTTCTTTGCAGAGATGAACAGAAATTATAAATTTACCATTTTATGGAATTTATTGTTTTGAGGATATGGCCTAAAAATGTTTGCAAATCACTGATTGGTTTACAACTCAGGAAAAATTTTTCTAAGCTGATTTTTAGAGAGGGAGGAAGGGAGAGGGAGAGAGTGAAACATTGATCTACTGCCTCCTGCATGCTCCCTACCAGGGATAGAGACTGAACCCGGGCATGTACCCTAACCTGGAATCAAAGCAGCGACCCTTGGGTGAATGGGATGATGCCCAACCAACTGAGCCACACCAGCCAGGGCTCAGCAAAAATGTTAATGTCTCTATAGTGATTAAAAATTGTATTAAATGCACCCTGGCCAGGTAGCTCATCTGGTAGAGCATCATCCCGACACTCCAAGGTTGCAAGTTCGATCCCTGGTCAGGGCACATACAAGAATCAACCAATGAATGCATGGATGGGTGGAACAACAAACTGATGTCTCTCTCGCGCGCTCTCTCACTCTTTCTCTCAAATCAATAAATTTAAAAATTATATTAAATCCATTTTTGCCTTTCAGAGTTTATACCAATTTGGGTGGGCATGCTAGTCAATTTCCCCTTGGAAAGATAATGCAAGTCAGCAAATGAATTCCAAATTTTAAAATTCAGCTGTTAAGGGTGATATGTGAGCATGAACTACATGTTAAGCAGTGTGATAAATGCTTTACCTGCGTTGTTTTACTTAATTCTCGAAAGAGCCCTAGACGATAGCTCCATTCTGCAGATGAAGTGAAGTTTTTTCAGAGGAGTTATGTAACTTGCCCAGTGTTGCACAGCTAGCAAAGGATTGGAGATGAAATGCAGACTCCAGAGCCTGTGCTCTTAACCATTCAGGCTACTTGTGGGGAGGATGGTCTGAGAGTCTTCTCAATATCAATTATCTCTTAATGGAGGGTATCTGTTTTACAAACTGTATCTGAAAAGAGCTTGAGAAAATGAAAAACAAAACTGGATACAACCTCATCAAGATGAGGCTCTTGTCTGGAGAAATTTCCTTTCAACATGGTTACTTATAATCAAATGCCTTTTAATAAGTAATTGTGCTGAGTGAGGTGCCTTCCAGCCAAGGGAACAGAATCTGTGTCCTCCAGAGACGAAGCCATGTGACTCTGCAGAGGACGTGGATGTTTGAACAGTGACCCAGGAACACATGCCTTAAAAGGCAAGATAAAATATTTACCCTGTGTCAAAGCACCGAACTTTTCTAGTCCACCAGAGTGAGCTTGGCAAGGAAGAGAAGTCTTCCTGGAGTAAATGGGAGACCACGGGGAAGAATGGGCAGGTGATGGATGTTGCTTTGGGTTTAACTTGAGAGACCAAAGATAAATGGATCTGACACGTGGGACTGATGCCAACCCAAGTCTAATTTGGCCTCCTTCCCAGGACTGTGTCTAACTCACCAATCAGAGGGCAGCCTCTTGCTCCACCCAATGTCAGTCATTTAATATAGACATATCTTCTACCCAGCAGGCCTGCCCACTGGCCCTGGGTGTTCCACTGTCCTGAGACTCAGAGTGGCTATGTTGCAAGTTCCTCCTTTGATGGGCATAAAAGATGGATCCTCTTATCTCCTGGCAAAAGTCCTTTGTTCAGACCTCCCCATGTCCTTCCCATATCCCCGTGTCAAGGAGGCATGAAGCCTGCCTTGTGATGGTAGACCTCTTTCCTAGCAGCATTCTAGAGGAAAATTCCATCAATGCCTTTTAGATACCAATCTGTCCTCTTGGCTTTACCCAGTCTCCTTAATATACAGTAATCAATCTATAATATTCCAACAGTAAGTTCCACTGCCAACAACTCCGTTCTCTAGCTTATGTCTTGCTGCAGTGTGTGTAATCATGGGCTCTATTCTTAGGCTCAGAGAGGTGTACAAAAGTCACTTCCCTCGCAACTTACTATATTTATCCAACATTTATATAATCACTAACCATGTATCAGACACTATTTCCTATTATATTAACTCATTTAATCTTCGTAACAATCCCATGAGGTGTTATTTCCATTTGGCAGCTGAGGCTACAGAGAAGTTAAGCAATTTGCCTGATGATATACAGCTAGTAATTGGCAAAGCTGAGGTTCATACCAACGCAGGCAGACTCCTGAGTCCTGACTCTTAACCACGGAGCTATGCTGTCTTCCAGGAGAACTTCCTAGTGACCCCTGATGGACGTCTGTTATCATATGAGAAAGGCATAAAGCTCAAGGCAAGACAGGAGGTTACAGCTTCAGAAATACAGCTGATCAGGAGATAGAGAGGGGCTGTAAAAAGAAACTTGCATTGCCTGGGAGGTACACACTGCATGTTGGACACCCCCTCCCACTTTAGTGATAGCTGAGTTCAGTAGAGCAAATACTGTCAGTCTGGCACTGAACCAAATGCTTGGCATGCATTTTATTTATTCTTCCCAACCACAGGTAAGTATTCTTATCATTATTGCCATGTTACAGAAGAAGGGACAGGCTTGGAGAAGTACAAGACCTTACTCAGGATCACATAACTATTAGGTGATGGACTCTGGATTCAAACCCAATTTGTCAGTAGCTCTTAACTGCTGCACCAGACCACACGGGTTCTCCTAGAACAGTGGTTCTCAACCTTGGCTGCACATTAGAATCACCTGGGAATCTTTTTAAAATCCTGATTTCTGGGCCTCATCCTCCGGAAATTCTGTTTCTTTGTTATGGGGTGGAGCCACAACATTAGTAACAAAGAAACAGAATTTCCGGAGGATGAGGCCCAGAAATCAGGATTTTAAAAAAGACTCCCAGGTGATTCTAATGTGCAGCCAAGGTTGAGAACCACTGTCCTAGAAAGAAGGGGGATTGGTATTGTATACATTTTATTTCCTTTAAAAATGTATTATGTAATATTTCAGATAGAAAAAAGGCACATTATGCGCGGATAGGCTTTATTCATTCTCCCCACCCCCTCCCCTGTGCATGTCCCGATGAGCACTGTTCTAACATTAGGGATGTAGCAACAAATTACTTCAGATGTAAAGGGGGTCAGGAGGAAATTAAGGCAGTGTTAGAAAAATCAGAACGAGTTTTTTTTTGTTTTTTGTTTGTTTGTTTTTTATCCAGTGCCACCTACGTGTGCAGCACTACACTGGGCAAGCTCAACAAAGAGAAATATCAGAAGTCCCTACCTAAAGTAAACCATAGGAAGTCACTTAGTTTGTCTCAGGAACTAAGTTTGGCTTAGACCACGGGAAAGTCACTTAGTTTGGCTACCAAAAAAATGAATCTGTTTACACAGAGAGAGTAAAAGCATCTTATACAGAATCGTATTTGATAATGCAAAAGCTGCCAGGGTTTGGGAAGTGGAAAGGGCTCGATCCGGGAGCCATCATCCTTTACTCAATCAAGCATTACCTGAGGCCTATCTCCCATAAAGTGGGGATACAGCCGAAAATTTGGCAAACAGGTCGCTGCCTCCTGGAGTTTATAGTCTGGTGAGAATATTCCCGCCTTGAGTCACTGCCAACCTCCAGCTATGTTACTTTGGATAAGGAACTTCTCCGGCCCCTATTTTGTAAATTCATTGGGGTCAGACTAGCGGATCTGCCACTCAAATTCCCAGCTCAAAACGTGATGCAAGCAACTGTGCCCAGTAGAGCGTGGGGTAGGCTCCCCAGCTCCCTGGCTCTGCGCCGCCGCGGGGAGGCGGGAACAAGGCTAAAGTTGGAGCGGCGTTCGCGTTCGCGTTCTGAAAGCACTTGTCCCTC